GGGGCGGCAATAGAGCAAGAGCAAGAGAGACATCTTTCATATTCACATGTCTCATTCTCTCAGTGACTTTGCCCAGGAATACCCAATCTGAAGTCCAAGGGAAATATCCAGCTTACCTCAAAAGTCCATCTGGTCCATGACCTCCTACTTCTTCCCAAGTGTCACGCAGACATGGGTGAGGTGTAGGCTGCAGACCAGATCTCTAGTTCTTTCTTACAACGTCCCTATTTCCTAAGGTGTCTTACAACCCTCCCATATCATGTAACAAGAGGCTTGTAGAAGCCACAGAAGAAATAGTGGCAATCAGGAATTGGCTGCTATCACCAGAACTACTCACTTTTGGTCTGCATCCTGCCCTTTGTTCACATCTCAAGGGTGCTTGATACAAAGCATGCCTGGGAGCAGACCGCAGGTGGGTGAATTGTCCTAGCAGTATCGCCCTTTGTGCTCACTTGGGACTGGAGGTCCTTGATATGAAAAGGAACAGTGCCCCGCTGATGATGGGCACTGCAGTAAATCAGTTGCTCGCAGTCTATTTATGTAGGGTACACAAGCCAGGTGCACTGAGCGTGACCACACAGCCAGACCGTGGTGGCAGGGCGGTGTTGGCTGTGTGGTCCTGGCAGCAGGGAGGTTGGACACCTCTCCCTTTGGCGATGCCTTGAAAGCAGACTGCAGACAAAGCATCACGTCCATCTCATGAGCTGTGAAGCTTAATTAAAGAGGACTGGTACACTTCGCTGTCTCTGGCAGCAGTTTTGATAGCTGGAAGGAAAAGAGAGCCTGAGGAAAGGTGTTTTATAAAAAGAACTGGGGAATCAATAAATTCTTGATAGCCTCTTTTCCTAAGAAGCTGAAAATCTTAGTCCTTGCGGTCCTACATTATGCCAGTCACAGAGAGGGTGAGCAATCAGGTCATACCATTGCCCGTGGCCCTGTGGGACATGGCTGAGCTCACGACGCAGGGTTGATTCGGTGGGATTTAACACTTCTGTCTTTCCCGATCTGTCTAACCACAGGGCTGCTCTTCGCCAATCGTGGTGAAGTTTGCCGATACCCAAAAGGACAAGGAGCAGCGGCGTTTGCAGCAGCAGTTGGCACAGCAGATGCAACAGCTCAATACTGCCACTTGGGGAAACCTCACAGGTCTTGGAGGACTAACACCACAATACCTAGCTGTAAGTTCATTTCAGAGGTGGCAGCTATATTATACTGTATTTATTTTAGAACCATGGTAAATCAACTATAGTAAACTCCCTGCAATAAATTGCTAAGTCCTCAAGGATACGTAGCATGTCTTCTTCTATATAAAATAATCTGTATGTTTATCACATTATCTAAAAATAAATAATAAGGAATATAATTTGAATAATCATTTCAAGATGTGTCAGTGCTGTCCAAGGCAAGCATTTAAAGTTTACTCATGCTGCAAAATAAAATTTGATTCCATTAGTTTTATTGTTCTTTTGAATGTTGGAGTCTGGTTTTTATAGCTGGAATAAAATTTAAGTTCTTCCTTAGGGGAGGACAGATAGGCAGCTGAGCACTGTAGAGGCCATATCTGTATGGTGGAGCCTCTAAACTGGAATGTTGTGGTTCAGTCCTCTAATCTTCCACAGTTCCATTTGGAAATGGCTTTCACTTTAATGTGTGGTCCTGTCAATGCTAAACATGCGTGGTTCATACTGCCTTGTACAGAAAGTGAAGATGACAGGGGAAAGCAGTTTGTTTCTCATAAATTTAAAATGGTATTTTCCTTGGTCCATTTTTAAGATCAAAAAGAGACATTAGCTGCTGCCCCTGTTGGAGAAATCTGAAATCCACATCCGCGCATCTTAGGTCCTGGATAGGCAAGAGAGACTCCCCTGCAGCACAGCTGAGAGGGAGCCTCTGCCTTTTGTGGCTCTGGAATTGAGAGGTCTGGTTGAGCAGCTTTTGGATAACTTGGGGAGTTCCTGATGGTTTCGAGTTAGACAAACAGATGCATCCATATATATATGTACTGTGTATGCATAAATACGTAATTTGTATGCATACAATGCTTTGGTATAGTGATATAATTATAAAGAGCAATTTACCTCACAAATAAAAATATATATTAGTACTGAGGTAGGCTAAATTGTTATCTACAAATACCAGTCTAATGAGTATCTGTGTGCTTGATTCATGAAGATAAGAAAGAAAAAACTGAATTCAAAGGGGTGGGGGAGAATGGACCGTGATTGACAGAGATGAGTTATGGTAACTACTAGACTACAGAGGGTTGTAATTAGTCACGCTATGTTGGTTTAAATAGATTTAACACCTGGTTGTTAAAAAGAATAAATTGATTAATTGTTTTAAAGCAGCAATGTTATTGAGTTTCCCTTGTGTCTCTGTGTTTCTTAATAGAGATTAGACATTAATATGGATTTACAGCATTGACTCTAGGGATGTTCATTCCAACAATAGACAGAAGCAAGAGACTATATAGATGTAAAGGAAAGCATAAATACTCCAAATGTGAAACGATAGCTCATTTTAGTTTTATCTTCGTTACATTAATGTCAGATAGATTGCTGTGTTTTGTTGTTAATTTGCAGCTTCTGCAGCAAGCAACTTCCTCCAGTAACTTGGGTGCCTTCAGCGGCATTCAGCAAATGGCCGGTAAGTTAAAAACCATTTCATTTTGCTCCAGCTATGTTTTGTATTCTTAAGCTATTGAATTCTGTACCTCTAATAATCACATTGTCGGCGGTGGGGGGGGTGTTGTGTATTAAATGTGGCAGATGTATTGGCAGGGGATGGCTCGTGGTTCAACATCAATAGAAACACTTTCTCCCCTCTTTCAGAAACTGAAATTAAACCCAGTGCTCCCGGGTTGTGCAAACAGTTTGTCTTGCATTAGTCACCTGCCATTTGTCCAAAGTAACCAATTGTAAATTGTAGGAGAGCTCTTAGTCCCTGCAGCTGTATCCTACCCTATGAAAAGTGTCAGTAAAGCAACAGCAGGATTACGTTCTAATTTCCAGTGAGATTTCTGTGTCCTGAAAAATCAAATTAATGGCAGCCCTCAAACATTTCAATAATAGGTGGTGAGTAAAAATGTTCTGACCTTTTTAATGAAACCCAAGATTACAGGCCTACCTTCGGTATGAATTTTCAGGCTCCTTTTATAATCATGGAAAATTAACTGGGTGCCTTTTTGACTTTGGAACCCTAGTTGACAAAATTACACAACAGAAGCTTTTATGTAAAAGTATAATCTTTAGTCTGGGAGAAAAAGGAAAGAAAGAAAAGGGGAAAAAAAAATCAAAGTGTGAGCAGATTTGAAAGCCAGCTAGTTGGAGGGTTTCTTAGTAATGAGCTGTGTGCCAGTAGTAACTGATGTGTAGTGATTAGCAAAAGGTCACTCCCACTGTGTGACCTACCATGCTGATACCCTAACTTAACATGATGCTAGAGAAGGCAGCATGTGCAGTAAATCAGAGCACAGATGCACATTATGCCTGCCGCGAGAAACTGTTAAAAAGCTTTTTTTCTTGTTAGAGGAAAAAAAAAAAGGAAGCACAAAACCCCTGAATTGCTACATTAGTTTATTTTAATCATGAACCACTGAATCAATGAAATACAACATTGTGCTTGCCTCAGCGTCACAAAACAAGGGCTAAAATATTCAGAAGTCCTTATGAACACCATTTTCTCACTCTTCTTTTAATCCTGGTCTTCTGATTCTGCTTTGAATGAATCCTGAGATACTTTAACAAGTATAGATATACCGCACCATATAGCTATACCCCACAGGTATTCTTTGCTCAATCGTTGTATTATGCCATTATTGCAGTGACATCAGAGACTAATGTGAACCTGCTGTCTGACAATATAAATTGGCCTACAGATGACAATATCTCTGAATTATTCTCTCTTCCTCAGACCTGCTGGCAGTGCTTGCTGGTTCTATTATGTTACACTTGCAATCTAGCATTTTTTCATCAAAAAATGTATCTTAATATGATAAACAGAACGGAGCGGTTCAGTAACAGTTTTATGCTTGGCAGTTTTGGAAGTGGCTTTGAGCTCAGAGATTGTGTTTAAGGTTTTCATATTTGGTTAGGTCTACAAAATGAAAGAATTGAGACACTGAGGAAAAATAATGTATTATGTGCACCTTAGAAGTTTTCTGTTGCCTGTTTCTCACTGTTAAGTGTAGATTCAGCTTTGTCTCCAAGAACTGTGTTGAAACTAAGAACTTTAGTCAAGTAATTTCAGGATGGGCTCTCAATCCAGGGTGTGATTTATTCTCTGAAAATCATATGGTCTTGAGTCTAGTAGAAAATCATCTTAAGAATTCATAGTGGCATGTCATTGTTACTTGAGGGATATGCCTTCTCGACTAAAGATTAGATTGCTAATGCTCTCATCTATGGGATAATTTGATGTCTGACTGCCTCTACTAGAAAATATGTATTTTTTATCTTACACTTGTGTTATCAAAACAGCTTGAAGTTTACTCCTTTCTCTCCCCAAAATATGTAAGTCTTAAACCTTGATGTTCAAGGTCAAATTAGTGATACTAAATTTCTCTCCAAGCTGCAGCTCTACATGAAAGTGCCAAAGACTAAGCGCTATTTCATCATTAGGACTGAGAGTTCATGTCCTCTCCTCAGAAATCATGTGGTACTATGTTATGCTGCACATCTAGTATTAAAGATTCATTTATTATGTTTTTTGAAAGGAATAGGAAATACGTGTCTGCAGCAAGATCTTGCATTACCTGTGGAAGCTGTCCTTGAATGTTTGTAAAGGCCCAGAGTTTTTTAACTTAAGCTCTATATGTTCATTTTACAAAAATGAATCTAATATGTATTCCCATATTGCATATAGCTTGCCTATTAATAAAATATTTCAAGGTGAGGAATAAAATCTAGACACAATCGAGTAAGGTGCTAAAGAAGATCCATCATTGCAGCTTGCAAGTTCTTTGTACTTTGAGTTTGAGGTCCAACTTTTATCCTTGAAGTCAATGGGTGTGCTCACCACTGAATTCAGACACTAAAAGTTTGATCAAAAGCCACATGAGCCATTGAAATTCACTCTTACTTACATGTCGGGGCTCTAGCATCTCTTTTGTGCTTAAGTCTCGATGTAGTCACAGTTTGCTAAATTAGGACTTCTAATACAGCCACCCTCTTGTTCAAAATTAGGGACCTTCAGATCTGCAAGTATTTATTTGTACTGCTAAAGCTCGTGTTGTCTCTGTACTGAGCAGAAAGGAGACAGCACACTCCCTGCTGCACATGTGAAGAAATACTTGCCATGCAGTTGTCAGCAATATTATTTCTTAAATCAAAGCAATTTTCTGTGCTAGCAGAGCAAAGACACTGATTTTCAGTGTGAAGTTTTAAATTCCCTTTCCCTAATATCATGCCTCGGTCTGGTTAAAGTAGTTTTTGTGTGGCAAAAGCAGGGATTCTTTGGTTTTGTTGAAAGGAGTGGGGGTTTTAGGCATTTTTGGTTGAAGACAATGGGAGTTTGTTTGTTTGTTTGTTTAGGAGCTGGGGATCCAATCCAAAGTAAAATAGGGATTGTTGTCAAGAACTTGCTAACATACAGACATTAAACACACAGAGCACCAGCTCCAAAAGTGAATGCTGTTCTTGCTGTAGCAGCCCACTGGCCCTACTGTATGTTCAATATTGCTTTTGCCTTTGTTCATAAACCACGCATGAAGTCCAAGCAAATCATGAAACTGGCTCACCTAAAATTTGTGAAATATTAACATTTGAGAGACAAAAAGTAGCAATTTGCCATATAGCTTTGCAAGCTTTAAAGTTCCACACTTGGTTCCCCAGTTTAGGTTTTCTCATTTTTATGGAAAAATGAGATTTTCATTAAATTGTTTTATTTCCGGAGCCAAGCCGAAGAAAACAGTGTAATATGTCGAGACTGGTAATTAAGTTGGGAGAGTTGGCAACAGTGCCTTTGGTATTATAGTAATCCCCTGGCCTTGATTACAGGAGCTAACCCTACCTTGCCAAATTCTGCTTCACTGTCCTTTGTAAAACATACAAGCACATACCATCATCAAGGGTATATTTTATAGTGAGCCCTTCCTCACTTTTCCTCCCCTCCTCTGATATCTGCTAATGCTAATTTAAAGGCAATGTTTTCTCTCACATGCCTCTCAAGCCTCAGTGTCTAGCCTGTGCTTTGTCTTTGGGGAAGGCTAATAATGTAGATGAATTACATTATGTGATTTGATTGTCTTACTTTAAAAAGACAATGCAAGCTACATTAAGCACTAGCAACCTTTCAAGCAAAAAAGATTCCTCCTTCAAATATACACAAATTGCATGGAAGGCTTAGTTCAAAGAAGATTGATGTCTCTTGAACGTTCGCATTGAATTTGGCTGGTGCTGGACCAGACCCTAAAAGCTACAGTTATTTAAGCCGAGAATCACAGAATCATTTAGGTTGGAAAAGACCTTTAAGATCATCAAGTCCAACCGTTAACCTAGCACTGCCAAGTCCACCACTAAACCATGTCCCTAAGCACCACGTTTTTTAAATACCTCCAGGGATGGTGACTCAACCACTTCCCTGGGCAGCCTGTTCCAAAGCTTGAGAACCCTTTTGGTGAAGAAGTATTTAGTAATATCCAATCTAAACCTTCCCTGGCACAACTTGAGGCCATTTCCTCCTGTCCTATCACTTGTTACCTGGGAGAAGAGGCTGACATCCACCTCACTACACCCTCCTTTCAGGTAGTTGTAGAGAGTGACAAGGTCTCCCCTCAGCCTCCTTTTCTCCAGGCTAAACAACCCCAGTTCCCTCAGCCGTTCCTCATAAGAAGAACCTGGAAAGTACTATACAGACAGTATAAACAGGGAGGTTTTATATTACATAGGGCAATTGTAGAAAATTGAAATGTTAAAAAATATTCTATGAAGATTTTGTATTGTCCATTAATGTAAAATGTTTTGGCAGGAATAAATATTCGGTTGTACAGAAATATTTCTATATATGTGACCATTCAGGACGCATAAACTTGTATATTACTCATAAAAGACACAAAGGGGCTCTTAATTTCATTGAATAGACAGTGTATTTTGCTTTCAGAAGTCATGCAGAAGAAACCATGCTTTTGGCTTTTCTTGCTTTGGCTTTCAGATCCCTAAACCCTCTGCAGCTGGGACTTTTTGTATTTTTCCAATGTATGGTTTTTTTCCAGTCCTTTCCAAACTCTATCACAGTTTGGTTGCATTTTGGGTTGAACTTCGGGCCCTTTCTGAGCCCTGTTCAATCCATTTCACCCTTCTTCTGTTACCCAAGCCAGATTTCCTCCTGTTGCAGAGTCTGTAGGAGCAGATGGGTGAGAGAAACTCTGTGAGGTTCTGCTTTCTGAATATTTTCCTCTAATTGTTGGATTGGCTCAGTGGATCTGGAGGGACCGGTTGGAAGCCAGGACCATCTGCACGAAAGCTCTATAGTTTTGCATTGGCCCAAGGATCCTTATATCCTCTGACTCTTTGGTGGCTTCATTCCAGCAAAGCCATACTGAAGGAGGGCTTCTCCTGCTATGACCTCTTTAGGGATATCATATTAAAAATAAAGGTCACTGAGAAACAGTTTCCAGCTCCAGGGAGATAGCTGTTTCTTAAAGATAA